GTAGAACATAAAAAGCGTACACTCAAAAGTTGATAATTTTTTTAATTTGATTGTGAAATAAAATCACCTAGCGCACAAAATTGGGAATGTTCTAAAATTAATATGGTATAAAGCAAGGTTGACAAATAACACTTTAATCACTCGTTTGTTTTGGCACGAGAAGAGCGAGTGTTTAATTAAGAACGAAAATCGATTCCTCACTTTAAGACTCCAGTTTCGCTATCCACGATCCTGATTTATTTCGAGCATTTGCGCTATTTTAGTCACGGGTTTGCGAGCGATCAGATTTTTTCTGTAAATATGATAAAATTGATACATTTCTTAAGTTAAACTAAAAATCACAAATTACTTCACAAGGGTTGATGTAAATGGTTTTTGAGAGAACAGGGCGTGGAATGAAATGATGATGAGAGAATAAATAAATCGACATTGAATGAAATTAAATAATATACAGGGTGTTGCATTGTTGTTACATCCAAATGTTGGCGTATTCCTTATTCTCTCCAATATTTGTCTTCCTGATAGAACTGATATTGCCCTTTTTTATTACACATTGCAGTAATTAACTGCATGTTACGAGGTTGTGGTATTTTATTATAAACATTTAACTATTTATTTTACATCAACAAATATAGGGTCATTGCGGCCAGTGTAGTTCCCCGTAAATAAATTTAGGGATACAATTGCATGCATGCTTCCGGTCAAACATAATTATATATACGTGCCAGCTTCATAACTCAATAAAGTGGTTAATTAATAAAGTACAAACATTACAAACAACGTGAACAAATGTAATTTTATATAAATCTCTCTCTTTTTCAATGTGCGTGCGTGTGTGCGTACGTATACGTACGTGCCTGCAGCCTGTTACATTTATCAACAAAAATTAAACATTTAGTTTATGCATCTAAATTGAACCGTAATAAATAACGCCGCAGCGAGTGGCAAATGAATATATTATTACTGCAAATAAAACGTTTCATAATTCAGGAATCTTTATAAAACAAAATGGGAATTTTCAGCCGATTTGCTTCATACGATTAATGGCATTTAAAAATTAATTTGTGTTGGTGGGATTAGGTATATCCATCGCATTTTTATATTTGAGACCGAAGAACAATGTAATGTAATAAGTAAAAATAAATAAATAAAAATTCATTTATCCCATTTTAGTGGGGGTTCTGTGATAAACGAAAAAAAACGCGACGAAAATATACAATTTTGCCGTGGAACTATTGTACTGCTTTAGTGAAAATTGAGCACAAATATTTTAGTTTTCTTCAAAAAAGTTAACAAAAGAAATAGTGTCACCATATCGACGATTCAATAGTACAGCAACAGATCATTTTTCGCAAAACTCATTAAGATACTTTTAACAATGTATTTATTAATATATAATATATAATATATTTAAAACGTTCAAAGAAAGGTGAACATTTTTGAAAGCTTCGCTCAAAAGATGACGTTGCAGAAGTGTCAAGTTTTTTGGGGAGAGATGACATTTCGGCCACCAAAAGTTAGGAATAAATCGTAGTGGCACATTTTAATTCATTGCACCTTAAAACACGTACTTTTTTTCTACACGCGCACACTATTTAGATAGTGTGAGTGACATCGCACTATGTGACGTCTCTAGTATCAAGCCCGATCTCTTTCTATCCCATCAGTCTGCTTCTTGTATGCATCATTGCAAGATAGTCTGCGTCGTTCCCTTCGTCTGCTTTGGGTAAATTATCTGTAATACCATATTATAGATGGCATTCTTTTCAGATGTCCATACCAGTGTAACCATTTACTTTAGATATTATCAATAATGTTCTCAGTTCACTCTCTTACCTTATTATAATATAAGAAACCGCTGCGCCTGCTCTATTAAATATTTAGGTGTAACGCTTTTTTCACACATGATTTAGGACATTCCACAACTGCTAAAATGTAAGGAGTAATTCGCTAATTTTCCATTAGTTAGTCAAAATTTCGATTTGTTAACACAGTTATTTTCATTTTGCAATTTGTTGTTGCGATTTGTTGTTCATCCTGCATCCATATGCTTTCTTCATACAGCATATAAGAATTGATGAAAAAATTAACACATTGAGTACCAGATTTCGGAAAATCTGCCTAATACAATAATTTAAATGGTAATTTCTTTATCTACATGATTTAATAACACTTGTTAATAATAATAATTATCAGTTCCGCATAGAACAGAGACGAAATTGCTTTATTACAATATAATTCCGTCGAGCGTCTAGTTTGAAGTGACTAAAACTATTGCTGGCCTGCAGAAATATTAAATTCGAAATCACATTAAAGCGGCGCGCTTGGAGAACAGTCGAGTAACAAATTGGACGAAATTCATTTGGAATATTATTCGTTCTTCCTGCACTGCAAACAATTATTTCGATGGAGTTTTTGCGAATAACCGAATATTATTGTTTAGTGTGCGTCAGGCGGGCGTTTTAATAAAGTCCCCGCGATTCGGTTATGGAAAATATAAATTAATTTCCCGTGAATATCATCCGTTGATAAATTCGAACCGTAGAAGAGCCATATACGATGCATGTAGCATATTTCGATATAAGCGAGTTTCTTCCATCAGTCTAGTTTCAGGTTGGAGCATAGTTTTGAAAGTGTTTTTTTTAAATATCCCTAAACAAAGGCCAATGTCGATGCTGCTATTACCATTTGAAACCCTGAGTCATCGTAGGATGCTGAAAATACATAGGGCTCGATGAGAGTAGTGTTAAATTCGTAGAGAATTACCTAAAAGATCGAACACAAAAAATTGTAGTAGCTCAAGAATTTTAGCATCACAAAGGCCACCATGGTGTAGTTTAAGTGGAGATTGAAAATATGAAAGCAGGGGGACAGACGGGTGGAGACGACCGCAAAGTTTGCGTTGTACGTTTCAAAAAAAAGATTGTTTTGGGAAAAGAAAGCTATAACAATATAGTAAATATTGTATAATTGTATATATTTATATACAATTATAGAATTGTATATAAATGATATTTATTCTAAACGATACGACGCCGATAGACATAGGGTCAACAACTAACTCGAGTACAAGTTACTCAATTCAAGGCGACGTTGCCACAAAATATTCTAATACATAAGGAATATTACAAAAGCCGTAACAATCGGACTGCCGTGCTATAATATCTAGGGTGCCTCAAGGCTCTAATCTAGAAACTGTGCTACACATGTATACAAGGTATTTATAAAAACATGGGCCAACATGGCTAGAGATTCGTCATCCAAAAAAAAGGTCCATACAAACGTATGTTTAGTTTCCAAGATAGGGTGTTGATTATTAAAAAAATGTTTTTTTTACAAAATATTAAATATTTTTGTTAAAACTTAATGTCTTTAATAATAATCAAGAGCTAAATTTACTTTAAGCAGTCGTCGTCGATTTTGTTGAAATCGTTTTTCCAACAATAACAACAATTTTATTTTTTGATTTGTGGGAAATATGTAATTTTTGCATATTTTATTGCCCTGTTTTTATTGATGTCAAAATTGAGAGGTATTATTCGAGTTCTTATATCCTAGTAAGAAGGTATTTGGCTGTCGAAACATATAATCTCTCTATTCGGTGGCTAACTAGTGATGTGATAAATACTGGTGTGATCTGATTTACCTTAACCACTCACTTAGCTACTGCTGGCTTTTCGAAATTTGTTTGTATTCTTCCAGCCATACTTGCATTCAATTAGTCGAACGAAGTTCTGGTTATGTAATTTTTAGTACTTAATTAATTAACTTAAATTAAGTAAGGACAATATATATGTCAATATTCTTCTTTCATATCTTCAATCTTTGATACCTCTATTGTTTCAAGTCTATTCGAAATTGCAAATTGCTGATTCCGCGAAAAATAAAGTTGATGATCTAAGGAAGAATGTTGCAAGTTATTTTTGATTTTTCATTTCAACCAGTAACGATAATTGCAAAAAAAAATAAAACTTCCACAACCTACTGTAATACTATTTACGAAACTCCTGGATTTCTCCTGCGTCGGTTGTGGTTGAGTCAAACTTAAATCTGTACCTGCTTATATATTGCTCGAGGGGCATAAGCATCGTCTAGGATGACTGATTCCCAAATTGGTGACTGGTAATGATTGTTAGATTGCTTAAGCCGGCTACACACTATCCGGCAGGCCTGTCAGTTCGAACTGAACAGTTCACCTGAAGACCGGTCGAATAAAATTTTATGGCCGGTTTCATGATTGTGTTGAGCGACTGCTGATTTGTCTTAGTCTTAAGGCTCTTTCGTGTTCTTTGAGCGTAGTTGATATTTGTCGTCCGGTTTCTCTAATGTAGTCTTTGCCGCATACGTATGGAATGCTGTAAATTCCTGGCATCTCAAATGGAATTTTGTCTTTGACGTATCTCTCAACATCTTCGATCTGACAAATACAAAATCCACGCAATCATGACATAAAACTTTATTCGATAAAACTAAAATTCTTGCATGTAATCATTTCTTCTACCAACGAAAAATAAATAAACAACCTAACAATCTTGACCGCGACTCAGGTCTCTACGTGTCACCAATAAGGGAATCAATCCTCCGAGACGGTACTTATGCCCCTCATATAGCTCTGCCCCCCCTTCAACAATATATAAGCAGCTACAGAGTAAAATGCGAGCCAGTTTCAGTTAAGCTCTGAAGAAGTCCAAGAAAATAGTAGTTTTGTTACCATATTTCCGAAAACGTCAAAAGTTGCGCTTGAAGAAATGTTTTCTATCGACATCCAAATGGTTAAATGATATTGTAAACTCTCGGAATAATATACGCATTTGATAGCAAATATTTTTTAGATAATTCAATTATTAAAACTCGCTGAAAAATTATTTTTTATTATTTTCGCCCCTTCCCTCGATCATTCGTTGTGTAATGTTGCTTTTGATGTATAGTGTTTATTAGCTTTGAGTGTTATGGAAGGAAAATGAATGAATTTATAAGCTAACTGGACGAATCTGTTTCAGAGAGGCCAGAGCGACGGAGGGGGGTACGGCGGTAGGGGACGACAGACCAAGGTGAGTCAGGAGCCATTAGAACAATGCGATCGAAAACTTTACTAAATAAGTTCCAGTAATCGTTTTTGCCGTCTGCCAATACACAAAGTCCTCTTTAAATTCATGACTGGATAAAAAGATCACTCAATTAAAATGACAGCATATTTAATGTACACAAAAATAATGGCGAGTTTGGGGTGACTAGTCATTATGTCTTTGTTTATTGCCTTTCACGTCGCCTTAAATTATCTCTTCTTTCTGTTAGTTACTAGATACAATTTACAAGAATATAGACACTTTTGACATCTACTTCAAAAATATAAGCATGCGAGAGTCATTTCAAATATCGCTTTCAATCTATAAGTCGTTGCCCAAAATACGGCCAAATAAGCCATCATTAATGATTTAGTATCAAGTTATAAGTATTATACAAATTATAAGTATTAGGGCCTTTGAATTATGTCGTCGCGAATACATTAGATCCATTGAGCATCCTTTGACGCAAGTTATCAATAACGAAATTACTTTTCAAATAGTACAAAACGACAATTTTTTGCGTTCCGGAATACTCGTTGTGAAGGTAAACGGATACCATTCAATCAACAGGTATGTTTTACCTAGTAATTGGATTAGGATCCTTTTGAATCGTGCTCTGAAATTTAATGCCGCATTACGAAACTCTGCTCAGGCTGATTAATAGGGAACTTTGCGAGCTGTCACTGACCAAAGCGTTGGGCTCGGACAAGTCGGCCGCAATCTCTTTGTGATAGATCGAATGGAAGAGCTACACGCGTTGGATATACGGCGAAAGATATTGATGAACAGGCAGTAATTCCCGTTTCTCTAACCTAACGCATTGCCGTGTAATTGATAACGCACCGGTGTCGTGGATTTAGATGTACGGTGTGTTTCTCAGACAGGTCGCTTCCAATATCACAAATTTTACTGACTACTACAAAGGTGATAGCAGAAAATTTAATTAGTTTTATTGAACTCAGATAAACAAGCAATTTCATGATTACCAACTTCTGACAAAAAGGTCCCACTCTGGATTATAGTAACCGTTACTGACACTCTCTTTCCAAAAGAAGAGTGTTTGGGAGAGGACCCTTTAGAATCATACTCAACAAGAGGATACAATAGTATACAATAAAATAAAATAACCTGAAAACCTAGAAGTTTAGGAGCACACGAGTTTGTTGCACGAGTATTAGTAGAAAAATATATATATGACAATCTGCAATAAATACAAATAAATAAATAGGAGTCGCTAGCAATCTGAAGGTTCCAAATTAAAAGTATAAAATAACCAGATTAAAGGAATAAAAATGAAAATCAGGGATGGAAGAGCAACAGAGCCTTTGTTCCATTATTTTTCAAAAATTAAGATACCCAAAATAATTTTCCTTTTTCAGTATCGCGCAAGAAAAAATTTGAGGCTAAATAAGGGTTGAAGTAATAATTTCAATACTAAAAATTATTCTAATATAGCAATACTTAACGAAACTATCATGCACCGTGAATGCAGGGTGAATGCATCACTCTGAAAATGTAATGTGTAAGACCAAGTCGCTTTCTAAGCATTTCTGTGATAATATTACCCTTATAAATATCTCTAGCTGTAGAATCATTTGTTTTTCATATTTTTGGTCAATAGAATGCTCCAATTAAATGTTGATCGCTGCATGGAGAAAACTGAAATTTTGGGAATATTTTACTTAATCCACGTATTAGCTCTTTGTGGTGAAGTTTATTTTGCCATTTACAACCTAGTTTAAAATATGTGATTTTACCCCTTGACCCCTTGATACTTGTTTATGCAAAGTGCTAACTAATATATTTGCAAAATATAAAGTATTTTACAAAAATGCTTGCATGAAAATGTTATTTCTTCAAAAAAGAAAAGAGACATTGTACAAGTTATAATTTTACCAAAACTTAGTTCCATTTTCACAAATCAAGAGATCGCCAAATACTAATTTACTTCCAAATACAGACCACTATTTCCAATACATATTAGGAATAGAAAAACAACGATAAACTTTGATACCCTGTATCTCGAAATTATATTAAAAAAGATAACAAAAAGTAAATAACGGATTTTTATTTCCGTTTTAATTTGGCATCCTAAAAATTAAATCAAAGTTTTATTTGGTAAGTTATGGCTCATTAGACAATAACCGTAAAGTGGAAATTCTTCGCATAATTAAACTTTTCTTTGAGTTTTAAGTTCCTCATATATTAGATTAGGATAAATATATTGAGATGCGATTTTACGAAATTGTTTGGTCCCTGGTTTGACTATCTAATGAGATAATAAAGTTTTCATTTCAGAAAATTATGTTTTTTTTGCCAATATGTTCTAAAGCACTCACACTCCTGACACGATTGATAACTTAGGAAAAGCCCTTTTTAATGGCTCTAAGGTTTTTTTTAAAGAAGTTATGCCTTTTTGAAGTCATCGGCATTTATTCCTTAAAATGTCCAAACACACTCACCACTTCTTTTGGACATACTGCTTTATTAGAATGAGCATCAAATAAAAAGATTTGAATTTCTCGCTGCTTTAACATACTACTTGCCCTATTAATGAATTAATCAATTCAACAATAATTCATTAATATAAGAAAATTATACAGAAAACAGGTCTTAAAAATCAAAATAAATAAGAACTAAAAGTTCAGATTTTCACGAAATTATATATTATGACATGACAATTGTTTCGACAACACCGTGTCTTTATCAAATGCCACATTTATTTTGATAAATGGATTTTCGTGAAGTAAAAGCCACCTCAGTTCAATTCTTAAAAATCAAAATGGTATGAATTGATAAAAAAGACGTGCCTCTTAGTTAACTCTTACAATATCTTGCCGCTAGTTAGATTTACAGTGTTGCCTTTTCTTCTATCGCCTTCGTACTACAGATTATGGCAAAAATTTACTTTTTACAGAATTTTGGAATGTTTTGGTCTAATAATGACAAAGGCTTCGTACTATTGATTGCTAGGGTTATGCGTAGAGGGGTAAACAAATAAATTTCTAATACCATCCGTTACCTTGTTGCCCTTAAACCCTCAACTCGCTGTACTTATATTTTTAATGGTTCAAATTTAAAAGTTCTTATTGATATATGTTTTTGCAAAACCCCTTCGAAATTTAATAAAAAAATGTTCTACTCCCTTCTGCAAAATATCTAATTATACTCCGATCTAACGTGCGGAAAGTGTCATTTTACCATGTTTCGTTTCCCACTGATCCGAGCCACTTCGGACATTTCCGAAATATTACCGCACGCGTTTGTCAATTCTCATAGTCATGTCAGTATTCGCTCCGCTCGTGCCAAATAAACTCGTGACTCAAATGGCACATTACCACACTTGTTGCATAATATACTATTAACGACTAATTATTAATAGTATATTATGCAACACGTGCGGTAAGCGGCATTGGACTCACGAGCGGAGCGCAGCGGACCGAGAGTTTAATAAACGAGTGATTTAAAAAGTTTACCGAACATGTTGCATACTATACTTTTTCTACGACCGTTAGTTTTTGGGTACATTTTCGCAAAACAACAAAGAATGCATTCACTTACATGCATGCAGAATGCAGAATTGACAAACGTCACAATTTAAGGCGTGGGAAATATCTCCGAAAACATCCGATTGCTCCCAAACCCGTGCGGTAAAATCCCGAAAATGTCCGAAGTGGCTCGGATTCGTGGGAAACGAAACTGACGTGGTAAAGTGACGCCTCCCGCACGCTAAATCTGTGGGTAATTAGGCATTTTACAGACTGGAGTAGAAAAAACGTATTGAATTTCGAATCTAGTAATGATAATTCGAGGGGGGTAAATTATGGACTTTTATCCAAGTCAACACCGTTTACCATGCATGCCGGTGTCAGAGTGAGAAAGGCGAGATGCATCTTTAACCCTTTGTGTTACCTACATTTCTCCATAAATCACTGATGAGAAACCCTTTGATGCATGTCCCATACGTCCTTTTCCGTGACATTCAAGTGGTTTCGCCCTATTGTACGCGTGCAACGGCTGTTGTACGTGGCATCCAGGATACGGCTTCTCTGTATGTGCGCGCGTGTGTGTATATATATGTGCGCCCTCTCGCGCTAGTCGGTAGTTCATCTGAACTGATCAAATTTAATATGGCGGCTATAATAGGTAGACGGATCAGTTGTAATTAACGAGCCTCGGACTTGTAGATATATTGAGTTACTCTAAAGGGTGGATTTCCAACGAATGAGAAATATGCAGCGACAAAGTGGCTGAAAATTTATCATTAAACAAGTAAAAATAAAATACATAACATTCTAATTATTGGTTAATTTATTAGATTCACATTGATATAATACAAAAATTTGAAATTAATTAAGTTTAAAGAAAACTGAAAAAGGATCTGTCGTCTTGTGGATCACGAAATCAGGATCCCACACATGCTGGAAAGACATTTTCTGTGATCTGTAACCGATAGTTGGAAAGATCCTTCATTTTAAATGTGTTTCGTCCAAATTCTTGTAAATGATGAAACCATAAATTTTGGACTTTCATTGTCTCTGTTAATAAGTTTCAACTGGTGAAGTATCTCAGTGCAGTGGATACAGTACCGCTAAAACGGAGTATCCATATGACTCTGCCTCAGAGCTAAACTATCTATTGATTTTTCAGGAGAAGCTTGCTATTTTCTAAACTCAAGATTTATTTATTTGGCTTCTCCAAAACAAAGGTATGTTACATCCTAATCTATTTTGGCCAAGTCTCCATTTCCGAAGTGCTCTCACTGGCTATTTAGAAAAGAAGTGTTTCTTTATCCTTTATCCCTTAATGAAAAATATGTACATGTATATAAGTATGCTATATCAAGATTTATCTTTATTGATATTTTAATTTACTATAATCAATAAGATAAAGAATTGATCAGCAAATAATAAATTAAGAAAAAAAAGAACAAGTCATGTTGATACTTTAGATTTTATTGTTTTGTTTTCCGAGAGGGTGTCGAA